ATCACCTATCATCATCATGTACCATCATCATGTATCATCATCAATTATCATCATCATGTATCATCATGTGAAATAAATGTCATGTACACTTTATATTCCTTTAATGCCCATCAATTAAACTATCATAACCATCAACCCTTAATCTCAACCCAGTTAGAGATAACACAAGTAGGAGTTCGACAAAAGATTCTAGATGCCATACGAGACATCCATGTGAAAGAATGGGACACATCCTCTCTCCAACAACAGAAAAACCTGTTGAGGTAATAAACTACTACCAAAATCATATAATTAATAGTTCTTATAACATCGCCATGATATATGTGTGCTCTGATTGGTTAATTAGCATGCGCGACCATGCATCCAGAAATCAATGGTGCACGCTGACATGATTGAGTAGCATGCTCCGTGTAATGGAGATTAAAAAATAATTGAATTGAATTTTTTCTCGATTAACAAAGATCTTTTAATGGTTTTTCTCAATTAAAGTTTTTTTTAAAATGGTTGGTTGCTTAAGCACTCAAAAAGCTAGAGTTGCACTTGGCTATGCCTCATACGACTCTTACGCTTCCTTTGTGCTTAGCAACCTCCTGTGTGCACCCAAAGCTTGATGGAAGCATGCTAATCAATGACCAATCCTTTATTTTTGCTGGCATAATTGATGCCATTTTGATGCAAAGCTCTTTTGAATGAGAACAAAAATTTGACAATAAAACATTGGTACTAAATGCTTATGGAACCTGACTCCAATGCAAAGATTTTGTCAAAAAATTATCAGTACTATATGTTTCCTGCTCATGTGAAAGCTACCTTGGAAAACCATTTCAGTGTTACAGGATGTCATACTGTATAAATAATGTAAGTCCAGGATTGGATCCGGGAATTTTAAAAGGGGGTTGACAATTTAAAAGGTTTTACCAGGAGTTCGGGGAAAGGGGGATAACCGTTACTAATGATATACTTGAGAAAAATGAGCGGAAGGGGGGTGACTAGTCACCCCTTATACCACCCCTGGATCCACCCCTGGATCCACCCCTGGATCCACCCCTGAAGTGAATACCACATGTTTTCACCAATTACTTGTGATGCGAAAGCACTAGAACAACTAGACACTTAAATAAAAAAAAGTGATTTAATATCTTGCAGATCCATGATTATTTAGGTGCTGTCTTCCACTAACATTCCAGGCCTTCAATCTTCATGTGTATTTTTCTAAAATGCCTGTTTGTTCTTTGTTGCAGTGCTCCAGAGGTAACATCAGTCATAGCAAACATCAACAAACACTTGACAGTTATCCATAGTAGTATAGTGTATGCAACAAAACAACTGGATGAGGTTGTTAATCCTACAGAGTTTGTCCAGGTTTGTGAGGAGAGATTAGAGGTCACATAGTCTGTTGGTTATGTGTGGGGACACTATTTTGTGGTAACCTTCAGTCTAATCTTTTTATTCTAATTGTATAGGGGAAATTTCCTGGGGGGGGGGGTTTCTTGCCCATTTAGGATAGGGATGTGCCGCTGAGCCCACTGAACCCTGACCCTGTTCCAGAGTAAAATCGCTGAAATTCATACCCTGTTCCAGAGTAAGATCGCTGAAAATCATAACCTAGTATTCCGGTATTGTGAAAATGGGTACCCTGTTCCAGAGAGGAGAGAGCGTGATTTCATATACCCAGTCGCAGAGCAAGCACGATTTTATATACCCTGTTACAGAGTAGAATCGCTGAAAACCATACCATGTTTGGCGGCATGTATCCGTATAGCAAATATGAGGGAGTACCCCCCATTGTGTTTGGGATTAGTAATGACATCATTGCTTCATTTGTCTTATGATAGGATGTATCGGAAGTGGAAGGTCTGTCATTCTTTGCCAAAGAAGCACTCAAGACCTCAGAAGACCTTCATGAAGATATATTGGGCTTACAAAGAAAGTGTACAGAGGTTAGAATGAAACTTTAAAAAGCACACTGACCATCTAAGCCAATCTTGTGTGTGAGGTCACTGAGCATCAAACCTCTTGCACACTAACCATCTAAGCCAATCTTGTGTGTGAGGTCACTGAGCATCAAACCTCTTGCTTAGCAGGTAGCATGATGACTAACCAAGCCATATTTGTTGCTTAAAACAAGTGTGTGAGGTCACTGAGGATCAAACTATGGACCTCTTGTTTAGCAGGCAGCACACCAACTAACCAAGCCACACTTGCTCCTTAAAACAAGTGTGTGAGGTCACTGAGAATCAAACTATGGACCTCTTGCTTAGCAGGCAGAACACTAACTAACCAAACCCCACTTGCTCCTTAAAACAAGTGTGTGAGGTCACTGAGGATCAAACTATGGACCTCTTGCTTAGCAGGCCGTACACAAACCAACCAAACCCCACTTGCTCCATAAAACAAGTGTGTAAGGTCACTAAGAATCAAACTATGGACCTCTTGCTTAGCAGGCAGTACACTGACCAGAGCACAAGTATTTAATCTTAAAGCAATCTTTTTAAATGCAATCATTACTTTGCAGTTAATGTCGCAAACAGGACACCTCTCAGCAGACCTCATTTCTTCTGAACCACACCCACCAGCCTCAACATCAAAAGGAGGGTTAATCGTCATTGGAATTGCTGCAGTGACGTTAGGAATAATTTATGCCAAGAAGAGTGGTATGCTAACATGACCCCTCCCTTCCTTCTGGCTTTGATTGACAGGTGATGTAATGATATAATGATAGCAATTGATTATCGTTAAGAAGATACAGAAATGTGGCTGCTTCTGCTTTATATTGAAGGACGCCTGCAAAGGAGGCTGCTTCTACTATACCTTCCTTTACAGGCGCCTTTAGGACGGCCCCAGAAGGACGTCTGAAAAGGAGGCTACTTCTGCTCGTTAGCAGGAATCTGTTACGTTAAAAGTATAGAAAAATATAGCTCTTTAGCTTGGATATGATATTTCTCATTTGAGACCTTAATGTCATCCCCAGAGTATCATTTCTTTGTTTAACGGCTGCACATAAGAAGACACATGAATATGGATACAACTCAAACAAAGAATTTTATCCTCAAGAGAATGACACGTGGTCAGAAATGGGAAAACATTACGCCAAAGATAAAGAGGTCTATTTGCTTTGCATCCTTTGCTTCCTCTTTACCTTTTCAGCCCCTTCCACAAGTGAATACACAAATATTTCGACTATTATCTATTTAAAGGAACGAATATCTAGCAGTAACCGATATCGGTCAATCCTCGTTAAGTTTATTAATGTACATTTGATAAATAAATTCCTTTCTCTCGCACTGTTTTATTTACCGAGTGATGATAAATAGACCTTCAGCGATTCCAATATTTCCGATTCTGATATTGTTCGTTACGTGTTATTCGTCGTGTTTATTTGGGAATGAGGTCATCGATCGCGCGGCCTCGCTCCAGTCTCATCTCCATTTCCACCAGTAGGTTTACTCCATCAATGACTTTCTGAACCAGCTGGACCTGATGATGGAGAGATATCCRTTAATACTGAATACAGTTGATTCTCTTAGACCTCGTCCACACGTATCCGGAAATTTGTGTATCCGCAATTTTTTTTTTTCGGATACGGGTTGCGTCCACACGTGTCCGGAAATTTTCGAATACGCTCCGAATACGGATACGTGTGGACGGTTGTATCCGCAAATTTTCGAATACGCTGACGTAAACACAATTTTGCGCATGTTCAATRAGAAAAGCTATCCGTCAAAGGGATAAGCGTGCATCAGGGCGGATCAAGAAATTTCCGGATACGTGTGGACAGTGAAACGATTCGAATACGATTCGAATACGCTGCGTGTGGACGCGAACAATTTTTGCGGATACAAAAATTTCCGGATACGTGTGGACGGGGCCTTAGAGGGCGGACTGATACTCGATGCCATACTGGATGGATGGGACATTCCTTGTGCAGTCCGATTCTCTGGACTCAGCATCTCGTGTGAGTAGAGTTTGTTAGTTCTGTCCCTTGATTCGAGAGTTTTTCTCTGGATTCTCCGATTTTTCTCTCACCACAAAACATAACACGCTAAGTTCCAACTCGAGATGTGATTTGATACGTGCCGTGACTGTCACGCTCTTGCAACTTGTCTCTCAACATTTTTTGCAATGCTCCATGCAATTTGTGTCACAACGCCGCTGCGAGACAAGTTGCAGAGAAAATTGCTCCGTGTAATCGCGCCTTAAATCGAGGGGGTATAGAGGGCAATAGCAGTCGCTTACCTCTGAGTACCCCAGTCGATCGGAGTTAGAGATATCAAAGATTCCTCCTTCAGCCGCTGTGTCTACCCCACCTGAAGATACGACAAGATTCTTTTTACGTTAAAAGAATTTCAAAAGAAAACCAATATGCTAGATATTGATGTATTTAGTTCAGTTGGGTTACCTGTGCCTCGTTTTTGAAGCCGAAGGGTTTCGAGAATATTAGGAAAATCCTTGTGCTGAAACAAAAAAAGATTTTACGTTTTTGTTACTTTGTGATAGTGATAAATTGCAGTAAAACGTTGGTGCGCGCTACTTTATTTCGATATGAGATTTAATCTGTCCTTCATTCTGTTTCATTTACTTATTTAGAAAATTTGCCTTTTCCATAAGAGGAAACGTGAAGTCCGCTTCTCTTCTGTGCGATTAATTTGCGCGCGTTCGCTCGACGTGGCTTGGCGCAAAATCTTACAATTTGTCTTCGCGACGAAATAGTTTTGGTGGACGTCAATCAAAGTGTTTCCATGACAATGTCTAAAAACAAAAAAATTTTAATGGCTCGTGCCGATGCAATGTCATAGTGGAAACGCCTTGATTGACGATGACCAAAACCTGCGTATTTCGTTGAGATGGCGATTCTGCGCGTACAATTGATTAAGAAATACTGTAATAATATATGTGATCAAACAATGGGCCGATAAAATAACACAGTCAGCTGTAGCGCGCGCGCAAGTAATTCTGTCCCGAATTAGAAAAAAATGCGCTTTGTTATTAGCCAATCAGAAGTCAGGAATTGTGCCCTGTATGAGATAATACTTCGTACTTTGCCCAGTAGAGGTAGTTTGACGTGCACTCCTGCCCTGAGTCCTGTGCCGAGGTTACTAGGGCATGTCAGGATGTATCCAAGGTGATTGTTCCACATGTACTGTCGATTTTTCTTCTCCATCAACTTTTCTACCTTGAAAATCACAGACAAAGAATGTTAGTGGTTAACAGATGTGCTAGCAGTTTTCTACTAAGTGCATCTTGGACTCGGTAATTCCGAGGAATCTTAAAATTCAAACTTTTGTAGAAAAGAAAAAGAAAAGTAGAAGAGGGAGAAAAGACAAAATTCAGGATTGAAATAACGTTTTTGTATTACTTCCGCTCTGGCAAGATTTGGAAAACTCCGAATCGTCTCAGAATCACTGGTTGCTCCACTAATCACAGCGTTTGAAACTATATTCAAGGCTAAAATTATACTAAAAAGATATATTTACTTCATTGATCCCGTTACAGAAGCGTTCAAACACAGCTCTCATATTCCCGCCTTTTTGCATAGAGATCAAACGCGTGTGGTCTTCCTCGTTAATCCAGACAAGAAAGTTCTTGTTCTTGTTGTGCCAAATCCCGCGCGCGTCGGGCCAGTCCCGCGCCATTCCCGCGCACGTCAGCAGAGGAGAGACGGGTTTGTCGAAGAGGAAGTGATCTTTTATAAGCTGTTCTTGCTCTTCGTTAGACATGTTGGCCAAAGGGTAATAAGTACCAGAGAGGTCACCTAGTAGCGCAGCACGGAAGAAAATATTTCAGCCTGGTTCTAAAATTACGAAGGCTGGTTGTGGTCATCTCAAGMGAATGAGACAAAGACGTAGCTGCCATGTTGGTAGTCTCCTACACAGCCGCTATTAGTGTCTTTAAGGGAGT